TCCGTCCTGGTTTATTGGTACCCATTGTATTTTGTGCAATATGTTCATGCATGTCACCAAAAATTATATCATTGAAAACTATGTTCAAATACGAATCCAATGATATAACTTTTGTTGACATGCATTAACATTCCATTAGTTAAATCTTTAGTTAAAATTTGACATAAATTACAAAGAGGACCAATAAACCAGGATGGAGGTAGTACCAACCATACCACCGTATGATTGATATAGCTTTGCATGGACATCCCTACACTTACATTGAGTTGACACACAATGAAGAGATTTGACACCGTAACAAGACATAGACTATTTGTTGCGTCGAGGTGTTGACATGGCATACCAAGGAATGCTTGAGGTTGGGACGAGGTGTGACTTGTGAGCTCTAAACCAGGGCGATGCGTGAGCTGAATCAACTTGTGCCCTCTGTCCGCGCCCTCTAATAATAAACATTGGAGGTAAAAAGTCATGTCCGCGCCCTCTAATAATAAACATTGGAGGTAAAAAGTCATATGTAAGAGTATATGCAAGATATATTGTCTCCCTTCTTTTCAACAAAAGAACCTATCAACCATACCATCATTAGCTTGATATACAACTTTAATTTGCCATTTCTTCTTTTCCCTCGGAAAAGAATACAAGGGCCCTCTGGGTCTGGTAAGCACTACCACTACGAAAAAAGAACAGCACCGCACATGCCACAGAGCTCACACACAACTTTGCAACCTTCCTTGGCTTTTACTTTGGCCGACGGTGGCTCGCATACCCGACCTAGCTAGCTAGAGCAGCCCGCCGAAACCACCAGGTGTCCCGTGGGACATGGCGCTCGCGATCGAGCGCAAAACTTCGCGCCTAAGAAACATGCATGGCAGCTCGGCCCAAAGTCGACACGCAGCGGAATGGTCGGAAAGAGCGGAAAGGAGAGGGGAGAGGAAAAAGACGTGGCCGGCCGGCTGCCGATATAAAGCATATAGCCGGAGGAAAGCTCACGCCGCACTACTTCTCTGGCGTACCCACACATCAGCAGCTCTCGACGTCGGACACTCAACTCGAGCCAGCTAGCTGAAGAGAGCGCGCACTAGCTCGAACCCTCCACGAACACTTGGCCGTGACGCGCGCGGGGTCGTTATGATGCGGAGTCCGGTGTTCTTGCTGCTGCTCTTGCTGGCCGTGTCCATCAGGGGATCAGGTGAGCGAGATATACTTACGTGGATTTCGCTGTTGTGGCGCGGTGGTGAGTGGCTCTGAAGCTGTATGTGACGCCGGTTGTGTGCGTGCGCGTGTTTCGGGCGCATGCAGAGGCGGAGTGGTGCGTGTGCAGGTCGGACGCGAACGAGACGGCGCTGCAGGAGACGCTGGACTACGCGTGCGGGCAGGGCGCGGACTGCGCGCCGGTGGGCACGGGAGGGAGCTGCCACAGCCCCGACTCGGTGGCGGCGCACTGCTCCTACGCCGTCAACAGCTACTACCAGCGGAACAGCCAGACCAAGGGCGCCACCTGCGACTTCGGCGGCACCGCCACCCTCTCCTCCGCCGACCCCAGTACGTGCCGTGCCTTCTCACCGCCCCTTGTAACTCCATCAGCATGTTTTTTTGGCAAAGGGACGATCAGCATGTTTTTTTAGTTTTATCGACCTCACCTCACCATGCATATGTGTTTGTAACTGCTGCAGGCTCGGGGACCTGCAAATACCCTGCAACCGCAAGGTAATATAATCCCTTGTTCCCGGGCAAATCATAACGAGTACTTACCAAACATTTATCATTGCATGATGAGCTGACGTATTTTCCCTATGTAAATTGCGCAGTGCTGCAGGGACTAGCACAGGGAACGGCACGGCGACAGGCACGGGCACCGGCACCAACTCTTCTTCCCCGGGCTCGACGAACCCAGCTACGCCCGGCATGGGAGGGAGCTTCACCACGCCGATCGGCAGCGCGTCCGGCCCTACGGCGAGCATCATAGGCCCGGAGAGCAGCGGTTTTGCCGCCGCTGCGGCCGCTTTTGCTGGCGTCCGCGGCCTCGTCGGCGTCGCCGTGGCCTCCGTCCTCGCTTTCTAGGTGCGGTGTTGATCATGAAGCAGCGAGAAACGTAGTGCATTCTTTTTAATCATCTTCAATCAGTGCGTTGTTGCTTTGGTGGAGATGTGGCTGTCGTTCTGCTTTACTAGTGTTTGTCTGTGTACGTCTTTCATGCCCTTTTAGTCCATGTATATGGAGTTTAATTTCTTTGCCTCATGTCGATGTCGTACCTGTGTCCCGTGAAACAATTTGCATCATGCATGTGATGTTACTGCATTTTTTGCCTGGCGGATGATGTTATTGTGCCATTTTTAAAAAACCAAGCTCACTTTATATACTCTCTCCTTCCATCTATATAAGACCTAATCCGTCTTTCAAGACCGCCTTTGACTATTCACAAAATTAATACTACATGAAATATATAATGTAAAAATTATATCATTGAAAGCTCCTTTTACATACAAATTTAACGATATGCTTTGTGTAAGTTACATGTCATATATTATTGCTCTAACATTTAGTCAAAGTTAGCCTTGAAAAACATATTAAGCCCTATATAGATGGAAGAAGAGAGTATCCAAAACGGGATTGCTAAGATTGAAACTTAATTAAGTTTCAGTCGAGGTGGTGCACGAACCAGACATGATGTCCAAAATTACTCAGAGCATCTCCATTGAGAGGCCTTGTGTAGGCGCTTAAAGAGGAAAAGATATTTAAAGAAAAAACTGTGAAGCGCCTATCAGAACATCTATAGTCGGATATGTCAAATAGGTTCCCTAAACGTCCGTGGGCACGCCCGTGCGCGTCCACATACATGCAGTGATCAGACACGCCTCAAATTTTAATAGTTGCATCCGGACATCTCATATTACATCCTCAAATCCATACAAAGACATGCAAACTAAATAAACATATGTACTACGTTGATCACCTATCTACTCGTCATCGGAGATGTCGACGATCTCCGTGCCCGGCTCCGGCAGCATGGGCAGCAGCTGCAGCTCTGGTTCCCCCGGCTGCTCCTCTCCGGCCTCCTCCGCCTCTATCTCCGCGTCGACTTCGGCGAAGAGCGCGTCGGACGCCGCCTGCTCCTGCCGGAGGAACGCCCGGTTGGCCTAGATGGACTCTAGGATGGTCTGCTGCTCCGCCATCTTCTCCGATTGGGCGATGACGAACTCCGCCTCCGCCTGCTTCATGTTGAAGCCCAGCAGCTCCGACTCCGGCTGCTCCGCCTCCTCCACCTTCATCGGAGCCAGTTCCTCCCCCTCCTCTTTTCCCAGCTGCTGATCCTCCTCCTCTAGCTCCGGCGAGTCCGGAGGCAGCCCGACAACGATGCAGGCGGCGCGCGCAGCCTATCTCGCCCGGATCTTCCGCGCTCCGGTGTGAGCATTGCGTAGTAGGTGATCTTCCTCCAGACCATGGCCAACTATGGTTTCGTGCGGCGAGCCGGAGCGGCGCCATGCGGTGTTCACACCACGGCGACGGACGCGGCGTCCATTGGACCGCCGGGTTTCCGGGCATTATCGCGTGGACACCGTCGTCAGACCGACGTGGCAGACGCGCCCGGATGCCTCATATCCGCCCCATATTTGGGCTGAATATGAGAGGTGCCGGTCAGCCCGGGCATTTAAGACCCGTTTGAGGGGTCCGTCTGGATAAAAAAATGATGACCGGTCAGTGACCGGACGGACCGCCGAAGCGTTTGAAGCCAGTTTATAGCGCATGGCTGTAGATGCTCTTAACCCGACGCCGAGGGTTAGCGATAGGCGCTAAACTAGCCATCGATCAATCACTGCACACACACGGTTTCTATAGGCACGAAGAAAAAAAATGTTAAGAGCATCTCCACTCGTTCGCTCCCCAGAAGCCACTTTTTCAGCCGGTTGGG